GACTAACATTATCTGGTTGAAAGAACACTTGAGCAAGAAAGAATTATTTCCTAGAACTTAGAGGTAGAGGAGACCTTGAAAGGCCCAACCTCCATCCCCGAACAAGTATTCTAACAGATCATCATAGAATCAAAATGGTGCCAGAAAAGACTCAGTAAGTCATCTGACCCAACCCCCACCTTTAACAGATGAGGAAGCAGGCCCAACGATGTTTTGTTTTTGGTTTGGGGTTTGTTGGTTTTTTTGCTTTTTGGTGGGACAATTGGGGTTAAGTGACTTAGCCAGGGTCACACAGCTAGTAAGTGTCATGTGTCTGAGACTGGATTTGAACTCAGGTGCTCCCGACTCCAAGGGCAGAGCTCTATCCACTGCGCCACCTCGCTGCCCCAGGCCCAAGGATTTGAACCCGACTCTTCCTGGCCCATCTTGCCTCTGCTTATTTACCCCGGTAGCAGTCCATGCCACTGGGATATGGCTTAATTTAGGATGCCACTGATGATTGAGGATACTATTTCCAGAACTAATCTTTGGAAAATCCCTTCTAATTATCCTGGTGAGCGATGGCTGGCTACTACCCTGTGGTGATGTCAATGGACATGTCTTGTATGGGAAAACCACAGAAATCTAAAGGCCAGCTGTCCTCACTGAACATCAGGCACACAAAGCAGTGTGGTGCAATGGTACAAGCCCAGAGACCTGGGTTCAAATCCAGCTCAGTCACACTGCTTGTACCAACTCTGCTTTCTCTTTTTTCCTGGTTTAGGAACAATTTCCTGAGCTTCGTTATTCCAGGACGCTGTTACGTCCCATCTACAGGGTTTGGGGCAGTAATTAGAGCACACTATGACGTCAAAGGGGAGGCCACCCTGGGGCTGGGAGACTTAGTTGTCTACACAAGGAGTTTTTCTCTCATTTTTTTTTTCATTTTATAGAGCAAAACTAATTGTAAAAATCTGAGGTTACCTGCAAGTTTCATAGCCATGAGTCATCCCTCACCCCCGGCACCTCCGGAATAGGGTCAGAAAGGCGTCTTCTCCCTTGTCTTCCTTGGGCCAAAGTCTGCTCTTTATCATTTTACCACATTCGCTTTTGATTGTGTTGTGGGAGTCCTTTCCATTGACCCTCCTCTCTAAATGCCCCTGCAGCTCAGGACTTGGGGGAGCTGTAGACCCTAGGGCTCTGTAAGACCCTAGTCA